TATCTAGGAATCTGTCCATTTCTTCTGTGTTGTCCATCTTATTGGCATATAGGTTCTTGAAGTAGGTATTGTTGACCCTGTGGATTTCTGCTGGGTCGGTTGTCATTTCACCCTTTTCATTCCTAATGGCATGGATTTGGGCCGTTTCTTTCCTTTTTCTGATAAGGTTGGCTAAGAGTTTGTCAATTTTGTTGATTCTTTCAAAGAACCAACTCTTTGCTTCATTGATTTTTTGTAGCATTCTCTTAGTTGCTATTGCATTGATTTCTGCTCTGATGTTTGTAATTTTCTCCCTTGTGTGATCTTTGGGTTTGTCTTGGTCTTCTTTTTCTAGAAGCTTGAGGTTCACCATCAGGTTAATTGTGCTCGCTCTGTTTTCCTAATATGTGTATTCACTGCTATGAATTTCCCTAGTAAGTCTGCTTTCATTGTGTCCCATAGATTCCGATATGTTGTATTACCATTGTCATTTAATTGAAGGAACTGTCTGATTTCTTCTTGAATTTCCTCTGTGACCCACTGGTTATTCAGAAGTGTGTTGTTCAGTTTCCATGTGTGTATGAAATTCTTGTGGTTTCTTTTGCTATTGATCCCCAATTTCAGCGTGCTGTGCTCTGATAATATGCAGGGGATAACTTCAAATCCTTTGCACTTACTTAAACATGTTCTATGAGCGAGAGTATGTGGCCTGTTTTGAAGAACGACCCATGTGCAGCTGAAAAGAATGTGTATTCTGATTTTGTGGGGTAGGATACTCTGTAAACATCTGTTAAGTGCATTTGTTCAAGAGTTTGATTGAGTTCTAGTATTTTGTTTCTTTTTTGTTTGTTTGTTTTGTTTTTTTGGTACCAGGGATCGAACTCGGGTCCTTGCGCTTTTTGTTTCTTATTTTTGGTCTAGTTGATCTATTTGTGACAGTGGCATATTGAGTTCCCCCACTACTATTGTATTAGTGCTTATTTAATTTTTAATGTCTATTAGTATTTGTTTTACATAGTCGGGGGCACTAGTGTTTGATGTGTATATATTTATGATTGTCATCTCTTCCTCTTGGATTATACCCTTTTCAAGGATGTCTTCTTTGTCTCTCTTAACCAGTGTTGGTTTGAAATCCACTTGATCTGCAAAGAGGATAGCTACTCTTGATTTTTTTCAGATTTGTGTTGCATGGAGTATTGTTTTCCACCCTTTAACCTTCAGTCTGAGTTTTTTTCTTTTTTTGGTGCCAGGGATCGAACTCAGGACCTCACACTTCCAAGGCAGGTGGCAGACCCACTGAGCTAAATCCCCAGCCCGAGTTTCTTTTTGAATTAAGTGTGTTTCTTGTATGCAGTATATTGTTGGATCT